TGAGAAGTCCCTACACCTGAAATTTTAGAGGAAATGTCATTAGCAAGAGTAACACTATGCTGTGAATTGACAGATTGATAAGTAAAAAAGACACCAGACGAACCGGTCATATGGTCAAAGGCGTCAGAGTCTATAATTCAGGGACTGTAAGTGGAGGATAATAAACAAGTGGAAGCGGTACCTGACTGGGCAAATGTGATAGTGGAGGAGGATGGAACCTGCTGTTGGGACATAAGCTGAGCATACTCCTCGCGAGTAAGTGTAACCAACCCAAAGTCTAGTGGAGCTGGACGTGAAGTATCATCCTAATAAGAGGCCTAATTAGCAACACCTGAAGGCTTGCCATGTAAATTCCAACAATAATCAATGGTGTGTCCTCCACGACCACAATGAGTGCATACGTGAGAACCAAATCGACCACCACAACCTCCAATACGACATCCAGTACGACCTCCACGGTTGCCACGACCACCTCGAGAACTATCATTATGGCTAGTAGGAACAACAAGTGCTGAGAGGTTATAAGATAAACTACGGTCAACACCAAAAGTCCTAGTAGACAATGTAACACGCTGTAAACAAGAGAAAACCTCAAATAAAGATGGGAAACTAAAACTACCTAAAATCTAGGAATGAACAGCCTCATATTCATGTTTTAAACCCATCAGAAACTGGACAACATTCATATCTTCATGTTATTTCTGCCACACTGCCGCATCAGTGGTGAACGGGTGGTAAAATTTCAATTCCTCATAGACTCCTGTGACATGAGAATAATAACCTACAAGGCTTAGATTGTCTTGTTCTAAACGAAAGTATTGTTGACAAATATCATAGGCATGAGTAAAATTGTGTGTGTCTGAATATATAATGGCCAAGTGGTCCCAAATTTCTTTGGCCATATCCAGATAAAGTAAAGTGGAGCTAATATTAGCCTCAATACTATTCAATAATAAAGAAATAATCTGAGCATCTACCTGCTCCCGCTCATCATAACCAGGTGTATCTTCTTTGGGTTTAGGGTCCACTAAATATTTTTTGAGACTTTTACCTTTCAAAAATACTTGGACTAATCGTGACCATAAAATATAATGTCTCATTCAGCTTGACTGATGTCATAGGACCATTAAATAGAGCAGCAGAAGACAAACCAGGTGACACAGCAGGAGAAGTAACAATGGATATGTCACCGTTCTTGGGTTCCATAGCCATGGGGAGGCTGAACAGTGCAAAAAAGAGACTGTTCAATGGTGAACAGTACTGGACAATAATAATCCGGAGTTGAACAGAACAAGAAAGCTTGCTGGATCGCTAAACCGGCCAAGAAAAGTTTGCTGGACCGCTGAACAAGACAATAAAGGCACACTAGACCTCTGAACTAGACTGTAAAGGCTCACCAAACCACTAAACCGGGGACAAAACCTTCGTTGGACCACTGAACCGGGAAGGTAAGGTGCACTGGATCAATAAACCGAATAAGCAAGGTTCGCAAAACCACTGAACCGGAGGAAAAACTGGAAGAACCGGTCTAAACCAAAGGAAAAATTGACCGAACTGGGACTGAACTGTTTCTGAACCTGGTCCGAACCGTTTCTGAACTGGGTTCAAACCGGTCTGGATCTGGATCTGGGTCTGAAACTGGATCTTGGTCTAGGTCTGGATCTAGATCTGGGTCTGGATTAGGCTTGAGATTAATTTAAAGTCCATGGACTTGGACCTGTTATCCAAACCCACAACCGACCCGTGAGGGTTGTCTTCTTCAACGAACTAGGGTTTACAACCAAACCCTATTCGTTGGTAGTGCTCACACCAGACGACACTACTGGGAAACCCCACGGCCACACCACCACAGAAGCCACACCAGTCGACAGCGCCTCACACAAATGCAACAGCGACAAGTAACGATACCAACAACGACTGAGGAACATCAACAACGATACCACATCACCACCACCGTGAACAAGACCAAGAGCAACTCAACAAAGAACAATTGGAACCTCGATTGCACGCTGAAACTTCACTAGTGGGAATGCACAGAGTCAGTGCAAACCCATTCGACAACATCACTCAGTGAAGACACAAACCGGAAAAAAAAAAAAAAAAAAAAAAAAATGGAAGAGAGAAGAAAAGAAAAGAAAGAAAAGAAAGAGAAAAGAAGAGAAAAAGAAAAGATGATTAAGAAGATTAATAGGAGTCTTGCTCTGATACCATGTTAAGATTAGAGAGGAACTTAACACAATAAGAGAAAGACAAAGAGAGGTTTTGGTTTAGCCTACCTCTCACTATTGGTTTTATATTTATAGTCACTGAAATAAGAAAATAAAATACGAGTATACCCTTTGTGTGGTATACATATTTTAATAAACATAAACCCTAATTACATTATAGTAACTTTTTTAATTGTATTATAATAACTTTCTCAACAGCAACAATGGGGTGGCAAGACGTGGAGGAGATAATGCTGGAGTGGAATGGTGGAGCGATGGCAACAAGCTAGGTGAAGGCGGTGGTGAGGATGGGTGATCAGTGGTGTAATGGTGGTGATGGTGGAATGGTAAAGGTTGTGGGAGTTGGGGGTGGCAGTGTTGGGGTGTGGTGGCAGCAATAGTGGTGGGGTGGTAACAATGGTGGCGATCGTAATATGGTGGGGGTGGTGAAAAGATTGGCATGAGATGCATTGAAATCAAAATTTTGGAGGGCAAATTGGTCCATCATGAAAAGTATATAAAAATCTTATTCACTAGCAATTCAGCATTAAGTGATAAGTGGCTAGCTATTTAAGATTTTAGTCTATTTTTAAGAGGTACTTAAATTTTTAAGTGATAGAAGTTTTGATTGTCAAACACACTTAATTAGGTTATCAAACACCACTCAAGTGTTCTTGACAGCAATTGAGTGATAATTTTATACAAACTAGTCACTAAATTGATTGGCCTACTTAACCTTAATAGCGGATTTTTTTGGGGACCAATGTAATGAGGGTAGAATTGACACTTCCTATAATCCCATTTGCAAAAAAACTCTCTAAACATACACATAAGATCACCCTTAATAATAATACAACTATTCTGGTAGAAAGTCATCATCAAACAATCAAGCCCGAGAGCTTTTTCCTTATCCATATAAAAAACAACTCTTTTAACCCCTTCCTCGAAAGATCTCTCAATCCAACTAGCCTTGTTTGACGATTCTAGACTGCAATCAACCCCTACAATAGTTTTCCTAACAAGAGCATCCTCAATATAAAAGCCTTTATAAAACTCAATAATCTCCTTAGCAATTAGCAATGGATCTATTACAACATCCCCCAACTCAATTTATAATTCTCCAACGACATTCTTTCTCCTCTTACNGATATAAAAGCCTTTATAAAACTCAATAATCTCCTTAGCAATTAGCAATGGATCTGTTACAACATCCCCCAACTCAATTTATAATTCTCCAACGACATTCTTTCTCCTCTTACTAGCTTCCATTTTATGGAAGAACTTCGTATTACAATCACCTTCTTTAACCCATTTAATTCTCATCTTTTGCCTCCAACAAGTCACCTCTCTAACACTTCCTCAGTTCCTCCAACTCATTTCTTAAGAGAACCTTTTTCCTAAGTTGTTCATTTATTAATACATCATTTTCTTCCAAACTATCTAACTCCTCAAAATCTCTAACTTCCTACATATGACATCTCCAAAACCTCTTCATTCCTTCAAATTTTCTTTCACCGACCTCAAATTCTTCATATATTTGAAACCCTCCCACCTTTCTACCTCACAGCTCGACCACCACTCCTTACACCTATCCCTGAAAGAATGATAAGTTAACCACATATTCTCAAACCTAAAAGGTGTGGGGCCCCACTTAACTGGATTGTACTCGAGGACAATTGGGAAATGGTCAAACACCACTCTAGACATAACCTTTAGCACCACATTTGAAAAAACATTTTTCCATTCATTAAGAAATAAAAATCTATCTATCCACGTTGCAATAGGATTACCTAAGCTCCTAGACCAAGTAAATTTTGCATTAGATAGAGGAATATTCCTCAATCCACACACACAAATAAAAGAATTAAAACTCCTAATACTGGTTGTCACCCTAGACCACCCCTAACTTCTCATAAGTTCTAATGACTTTAAAACCTCCTAGTATACACTACCTAGGGCAACATAAACCAAACAAGTTATAACTCATCCCAAAACAAAGATCTAGTATTAGGACAATATGAACCATACACAGAAGTTATCCACCATTTCCCTCTTCCCTTAACATCAAGTAGACCCGACAAAGAAAAGGAGCCAAGAACACAATTTATCCTAGTAGCAAATCTAGTATCCTATGTCACAACAATACCCCCAGAAGATCTGCAAGATGGTAGTTAAACCCAATGCTTAAATATAGATACTCCAAACCAAAGCCCTATCTACCATCTCGAACTTTGTCTCCTGACACATAAGTAAATCTAGAGAAGCTCTTACAATCACCTCCTTAATCATTCTCCTCTTCCTCAACTCCCCAACCCCTCATATTCCAACTAATCAACTTCATCTAGAACCTCCAAAACCCCATCCCCTCCTCTCACCCCCTATCATACTTAAATCTCACAGTGTAGATTCTTTAATTACCTCTCACCTTCTTCCTTTCCTACTATACACTATAGGCGACATTCCCACTCTAATTTCTTGCCCTTTAGGACTAACAAGCTTAAGGCTCATTTTTTTCCAAAAGGGTTTGTGCCACTTGATTGTCTCCTTCATTCCCTAGTAGGTCCTCTATTACTTGGTTGCCCCCATATACCTCCCAGAGGTCTAGGTAAAAGTCACGAACCAGGACAATTACTTCTCACAAAACTCCCTGCATTTTCATTCTCAACCAAAATATTACTAGAAAAATGAATCAGGGATAGATGAAAGCATTGGCGAATCAGATAGACAATCAATTAGCAATGCATAAGGAACAAAACTCACAAACATTAGCTTTTGCGTAGTCATTGTCTTAACCTAATTTGCACCCCAACTTATTGCAACCAGAAACATCATTAAAGCATTTTCAACCTTATTATTATTACTAGCACTTTCCACTACCCTTTTGTCGTTCTCCTCGTTAAATATTATCACCCCAGTTACTTCAACAACTGGTGATTTTAACACATACGAAACAATTTCATATTCGTGCAGCTCCACTATATTCAGAGATTTAGGTACCCCATATACCACTGTCAAGGATTGGCCTTCTTCCTGTTTCAGCAATGGTGAAATTTTCAGCGTCCCAATAGTATAAGAAGAACAGGGGTGAGAAGTTAGCGGAGCTCCATTAACCTGGGTTGAACCAGTCGAGTTTCCCGATATAACCTCCCTCTTCCACTGTCGATCCCAGGTGAGATGGTTGCCTTTTTTCATCGAGACCTTATGACGTCGATGTCGGGGATCCTCCTTTATCGAAGTCTTGAGACCACAGTCCTGTTGATCGCATCAAAGAAGCAAGGAAGAAACTTCGTCGGAGCTAGGCACAATGATTGATTTCGTTTGATCATCAGCATAGGGTGTTTTAGGGCTGTAGGAGATTGGGTCTATTTTAATTACCCATGTATGAGATTTGGATCCTTTATTTGTAACTTGAACCAGCAGGGTATGGACCCAGGTTTAATGTATATATTGTGCAACCCAATACCATTTTGAAGCCTAAATAGACCTTGTATTCATATGGTTTCATAAATGTTGGTATTTAAAAATTTGTACATGTTTGGGAGAAGGAATATCCTATTTAGAGACTGATAGCATGCATCCCAAAGCGTAGGTGGTGGAAGGCTTGTGGGAGCTTGGACTAGCAAAAATCTCTTGCAATCTTTTTGTGTTTACCCTTAGAACTAGAATAGATATGTTAGTACACACATATTGTGTTTGAAAGAGTTGTTTTGAGACACTTGTGATATACACTTGATCACCCTATAGAGTGATTATTATTTTGGGTATTGAAATATAAAGTTGTGACATTGGTATATAGATGTACTCTATGAATCCGGGTTGAGGAGGACTTCTTAGCCTCCAATTGCCACCCTGACTTTAGTTTGGATATAATATGATGGATGGATGTTGCAGATTTTTAATTAGTTTAAATTATCATATGCTCTCACAGAGATGCTCTTACTAATTGGTTGGAAGCCCGATTTCCAAATAAAGCTCTACCCAATTTTTCAGAAAAGTATGGTTTGATTAAATCAACTGTTCAATTTCATTCAATTTTTATTGTAAACCGGCAAGAGATTTTGGTATAAATATTATGTTTTATTATATCATGCTTCAATGAAAATTGAANACTATATTCAGAGATTTAGGTACCCCATATACCACTGTCAAGGATTGGCCTTCTTCCTGTTTCAGCAATGGTGAAATTTTCAGCGTCCCAATAGTATAAGAAGAACAGGGGTGAGAAGTTAGCGGAGCTCCATTAACCTGGGTTGAACCAGTCGAGTTTCCCGATATAACCTCCCTCTTCCACTGTCGATCCCAGGTGAGATGGTTGCCTTTTTTCATCGAGACCTNTCTATATTCAGAGATTTAGGTACCCCATATACCACTGTCAAGGATTGGCCTTCTTCCTGTTTCAGTAATGGTGAAATTTTCAGCGTCCCAATAGTATAAGAAGAACAAGGGTGAGAAGTTAGCGGAGCTCCATTAACCTGGGCTGAACCAGTCGAGTTTCCCGATATAACCTCCCTCTTCCACTGTCGATCCCAGGTGAGATGGTTGCCTTTTTTCATCGAGACCTTATGACGTCGATGTCGGGGATCCTCCTTTATCGAAGTCTTGAGACCACAGTCCTGTTGATCGCATCAAAGAAGCAAGGAAGAAACTTCGTCGGAGCTAGGCACAATGATTGATTTCGTTTGATCATCAGCATAGGGTGTTTTAGGGCTGTAGGAGATTGGGTCTATTTTAATTACCCATGTATGAGATTTGGATCCTTTATTTGTAACTTGAACCAGCAGGGTATGGACCCAGGTTTAATTTCTATATTGTGCAACCCAATACCATTTTGAAGCCTAAATAGACCTTGTATTCATATGGTTTCATAAATGTTGGTATTTAAAAATTTGTACATGTTTGGGAGAAGGAATATCCTATTTAGAGACTGATAGCATGCATCCCAAAGCGTAGGTGGTGGAAGGCTTGTGGGAGCTTGGACTAGCAAAAATCTCTTGCAATCTTTTTGNCTCGCCTAGGTGAAAAGCGAGGCGAGGCGAGGCGAGCTTATCTCACCTGGAGGACCCCAGGCGAAGCGAACGTGAGCGAAGCGAGAAAAAAGCAAGAAAAAGNGGATGCTCTTACTAATTGGTTGGAAGCCCGATTTCCAAATAAAGCTCTACCCAATTTTTCAAAAAAGTATGGTTTGATTAAATCAACTGTTCAATTTCATTCAATTTTTATTGTAAACCGGTAAGAGATTTTGGTATAAATATTATGTTTTATTATATCATGCTTCAATGAAAATTGAANAAAAGCAAAAAAGCGAAAAAGCGAACGCTTTATTATAAAAAGCGATTCTGCTTCACTTTTTTTTTTTTTTTCTGATTACAGGTTAGTAGTCTCTTTTTNAAAAGCGAGGCGAGGCGAGGCGAGCTTATCTCGCCTGGAGGACCCCAGGCGAAGCGAACGTGAGCGAAGCGAGAAAAAAGCGAGAAAAAGCGAAAAAGCGAAGAAGCGAAAAAAGCGAAAAAGCGAACGCTTTATTATAAAAAGCGATTCTGCTTCATTTTTTTTTTTTTTTTTTTTTTCTGATTACAGGTTAGTAGTCTCTTTTATTTTTTAATCACTAATGACTTTTTTTTTAGACTATTGCTGGTTTTTTTTTTTTTTTTTTCTAATAAACAATGTTTCGAACAAAATACATTCCTTTTTTTTCCTTGTATTGCTGAATTCATTTAAAATATTTGTGGGATGTGGGAGTCAGCCGACTGCACTGCATGACAATTATGATAAAAAAAGGAAGCAGGAGTATCAGAAATGGGGGTAAATAATAAATTCTTCTACAAAGAAGTGTCTCTGNCAGGCGAAGCGAACGTGAGCGAAGCGAGAAAAAAGCAAGAAAAAGCGAAGAAGCGAAGAAAGCGAAAAAAGCGAAAAAGCGAACGCTTTATTATAAAAAGCGATTCTCCTTCACTTTTTTTTTTTTTTTTCTGATTACAGGTTAGTAGTCTCTTTTATTTTTTAATCACTAATGACTTTTTTTTTAGACTATTGCTGGTCTATTTTTTTTTTTTTTTTAATAAACAATGTTTCGAACAAAACACATTCCTTTTTTTTCCTTGTGTTGCTGAATTCATTTAGAATATTTGTGGGATGTGGGAGTCAGGCGACTACACTGCATGACAATTATGATAAAAAAATAAAGCAGGAGTATCAGAAATGGGGGTAAATAATAAATTCTTCTACAAAGAAGTGTCTCTGATATGTCTTTGTTATATTTTTCCTTTTTCTTATATATATACAAATGGTACCAAAAAGTGGTCTATGCTTATACCATGTTTAATTATTTTAGTACATGTGAAATGTGCCTCTGTTCTGCTTTTTTTTATTCAATATATAATNATTTTTTTTTTTTCTAATAAACAATGTTTCGAACAAAATACATTCCTTTTTTTTCCTTGTATTGCTAAATTCATTTAAAATATTTGTGGGATGTGGGAGTCAGCCGACTGCACTGCATGACAATTATGATAAAAAAAAGAAGCAGGAGTATCAGAAATGGGGGTAAATAATAAATTCTTCTACAAAGAAGTGTCTCTGATATGTCTTGGTTATACTTTTCCCTTTTCTTATATATATACAAATGGTACCAAAAAGTGGTCTATGCTTATACCATGTTTAATTATTTTAGTACATGTGAAATGTGCCTCTGTTCTGCTTTTTTTTATTCAGTATATAATTACATATGAAATTGTTTACAATTGATTCTGCTCCTGTCATGATCAATGTGCTTCTGTTTTTTTTTTTCAGCTCATTCTGCTTCTATTTTTTTTGTTGATTCTGTTGCTGCTTCGGTTTTGTTGTCCTGTGTTGCTTTTGTTTTTTTTTATCCTCATTCTGCTTCTTTTTTTTTTTTTGCTAATTCTGCTGTTGTCCTGATTCTGCTTCTTTTGTTGTCCTACCCTGTCAATATGAAAATGTATACAATTGTTAGTATTTGTTTGAATTTAAATGTTTAAGTTATGACTGTTATTAAGATTTGAGATATTATTAGTGTTTGTTTTAATTTAAATGTTTATGGTTTTACTTGCATTTAAATATTTAGTATATATAAAATTAGAACTTAGATTGTTTAGAAGTAATTAAACTAAAATATATATTTTTTTTAACTGTTCACTTTGCTTCGGTAAAGCGTGTCGCTTCTCTTCTCGCTTCTCGCTTCTCGCCTAGGCGTTAAGAGCCTTGGTCGCTTCGGTTCGCTTTACGCCTTAAATAACACTGGATGTAGCCATTATATATCGTGTGTTGCATGATCCATGTTGTATATCTACTGTGAAGCATGTTTAAAGTTGAAATATATTGTATCTTGTATGATGTTACCACTTAAATAGACTTACAATTATTAAAATTGAATGTATGAGCTCTTGATTTATGTTATAAAAGGGGGGCTCCCAGTATCTGGAAAGTCAACTGCCTTTTAAACCAGTCAATCAGACCAAGTGGAATAGTTCTTGGTCTTAATTTACTGAGAATAGTAGCCAGCAGACATAGCCTGGAGCAAATGAAAAAAAAAGGACTTTTTCACTCCTAATTCGACCAAGGAAGACATCAAGTTATTTTCCATATGATCCTTGTCAAGACATCAACAAGGTTATCTCCAAACATAATGAAGAATATCCAATCAAAAACAGTAATAAGAGTTATTTGTCAGATCCATCCAGAGAGTGCAAACAAACATGGCACACAATAATCCATGGTCTAAAATGCTCATACTTCTCTTCAACTCAATGAATTCAAACTCAAGTTCAAATAGGCAACAGTGTGCAGCTAAGATATATAGTGAAATGCAACTAAATCAAGATCTTGAAATGGCCAACATAAGAAATAAAAGTAATACAAATATTCCAAGAAGTTAAGTAATAATTGAGGGATCTAAGGGGTAGATTATTGGCCAAAATAAAAATGGAATGGCAGGCTTAGTAAGTAGATAATATGGATATACCTCCAGAATGACTTTTCTTCCTGCTCCCTTAGAAGGCCGAGAAAGTATGCATCCAATTGTTAAGAAATTCAATTATCAGTAGTATTACCACAAACAAAGCCAAACGACAAATTACATTAACTTTCTCTACTCACAGAAAAGTAATGTCCCCATTCCTTGTCCAAATAGTGCCGATCCTTAAAGAACTGATGAAGAAATAAGTAACCCAACTTTAGTCTTATCATAGGAACTAAATTAACAGCATTGGTGAAAATCAAGAATCAGGGACACAGTTCAAGAATTTAAAGAAGTGGGCAAGCCAATCTCGTACACACGACCAAGCCGATTGCTAAGCTCTTCTAAAAGACCAAGTGACAAAATATATCAATAGGTTAACAGACACAAAAACATGAAATGAAGTAGAAGTCGCAGTGGCAGCAAAAAAAAAACTGACTCTGTCTTGATGTCGTTTGTAGAAGACATCCCAATACTTCTTAGCATCTTTTTCGTACTTTTCTGCCAAACAATAGCGCAAGATTAGAATAATAGTATCTGTCTGTGTCCATACGCGTGTCTATGTGCGTGCACTTTACATTCACAGAGAGAGAGAGAGAGAGAGACCTCTCCAAAAAGGGGTTATTTCACCATTCAATGTAGAATATATTTGTAAATCTGGCAGCACCAGTTGCTTTTGCTCCATAGTGTCTTGTGCATCCAATGCCATTGCCTATGCCACCATTTGCAAATAAAATTCATAGACAAAATTATGCTATTATTAAGACGTACTATTATAAATATAAATGTTTAGGAACTGCAGTGAAGTGGTAAAGAGATTCCTAAATTGGGATTCAGCTGCTCCTTATACAAAAGGTGGAATTCTACGATGACTTACGTAATTGATCCATGATTGATATGCCCAAATATTACCTACACACATACACAGTGAATTTCATTCTTGATTTAAAGTACCAAATCAGATGTGCAAGGCATTTCCCATTTGTTTGTTTGAGAATATATCATTAGTTTCTTAAATGTTCAACTATAATGTAAAAGATAGCAGAAGCTGCTAAGTTGGACTTTTATTTCTGCTAAGAATAATAAACTGGCCAATTCAGCGGTCAAAACATGGGCGAAGCCAGAGGAGGGTATGCGGAGCCTCAGTTCACCCAAACGTTTAAAAACGCCTGCTTTATTCATATATATTTGAAATATAAACCATGCATAAATGAAAAGGCTGGCCCCTCCAAAAAATTCAGTTCAACAGTAGCCCTCCAAATCCTCTTGTAGATACTAAAAATAACAGAGGACAGCCAATTAAAATATATCGCACACGCAGTATATTTATATAAGGCTAATTTGAGTTCAAAGCAAATTTGTCGTACTTAACAATTTTTTTTTTTTGTTAGATATATAGTAACAGAAGGTTATCTCGAGTAACGGAAGGTAACCTCANGTTAGATATAGAGTAACAGAAGGTTATCTCGAGTAACGGAAGGTAACCTCAAGTAACAGCCATTAACATATCCTTTTAAGGTTTGGTAAGACATATCATTATCAGCTTAAAGCCAAAAAGAAAGAGGAGAAACGTATCAAGAGAAAGAATAGGGCATGAAGAACATGGGGCTCAAGAAAAGTTTAGTGAGTTCCAGGTTCTCTTCTTTATTTCGTCCCGTGTTCCATTACATACACATTACCTGTTTTCCACTCTTTTTCCTGGGTTTTTTTCTTGGTATGATTTCCCACCACTGTTTTTTTCTTTTCTTTCTTTTTTTTTTCTCAATAAGGACATGTATGTTAACATATTTAAATTGGAAGATTCTGGTGGGCCAATCAAACTTAACCAATCATATGTGACGCGGGAATCCCAAGCAAGTGGCTACCTGGCAATAATCGAACTGAATCCTACTTGGGCAAGGAGTATGTTCTTTATAATTTAAAAGAGAAAAACCTTAATGAGTCAATGGACTGCTCCTTCTAAAAATACGACCCAAAACCTACAAGGACGGCATAATTGGAAACCAAAGTGGACGCAAATGGGAATAGGTGTTCTAGTGGAAGACACAAGATACGAGTTACATTGCATACAAAATTAAGTAATCCAATTAAAACCCTAAAAACTCAAAGAAAACTGAGGTGAGTCAACATCAAACATGATATAATCTGGCATGCAATTCGTTTAATTTTGCCATTGTATAGCAGCAGTCTGCCATCATCTCATTCATGGGATGAAACAAATAAAATAGCGAGCTAAGGAAACTGTGGAAAACAAAATAAACTGAAGTTTTATTAAATTGGCATATTTCGGAGATCAAGTAAAAGATTTGGCACTCAGATTGAAGAGAGAGAGAGACCATAGCCGTGCGCATTGAGAAAATACAGTTGGCGCATAGGGAAATACAGAGCTAGAGATAAGAAAGAACCTCAGGCCTGCGGCTCATGACTTCGATAAGACCACGTTCGAATGCACGTCAATGACGTATTGGCGCTCCCATTGAAGGCACCGGCGGAGCAGTTGTGGATCGGACAAGGCTACAAAAAAGCAGTCCAATGCCAGGTATACAAAGATTTATTAAATTATGCACAATATTTGACTCGGCAATAGATCTCAGCTAAGGTTTCAACATTTGTTCACCCCGAATTGGTTTCATCAGACCTGGATAGTTGAGAATTGAGTGTAGATCTTGATGGTTCCGGTTCGGCTAAGTGGTGGTGGTGGTGGTGGTGGGGTGGACTTGATTAACATTCAGAAAATATGGCGGCTAGGCCGTCTCGAGGAGAGAGATAAAAAGTGAGGTAAGTATTAGGGTGTCTTTCGATAATCGGCATGGATAAAAATTGATTGAATTTTTTGTATGCTAATTCATCCCACCTAAATTCACTCCCGCACTTAATTAAATGGTTTTATATGCTATTCAATCCAAATTATTGTTTAGGGAAGCAATTGAATTAGATAGATCCCACATTAATTTTTGTAGATATTTACCATTATATCAATTGACATATTCAATTCAAGAAAATTCACACTCCCCAGATCCACCACAGCCAGTAGCCCATCCTCACCCAATAAGAAAATTGAAAATTAGGGTTGTACTTATAATGATTTGAATTCGTCAAAAAAAAATTATTTAATAATAAGTTCATTTTTTTATATTACTAATAAGTACTTAAGTCAATTATTTTTTTAAATCTAAAAAATATCCTTAACAGTATTACTGTGTTTAATTATAAAAACCTTAAAAATAAAAATTATTATTCTTTAATTACTCCTAAATTAAAATTCAAATTTATATTCTCTATACATCTCTCTCTGGTTAGAAGAAAATCCTCTCATTCAATAACAAATACAAACTTTCACAATAACAATTGCAAACCGTAATGTAACATCTATTTTTTTCTTCACAGTAACAATAAATTTGTATGCACATTAACACAACAACTTTAACAAAACTCAGGAGGATATATGTTGCACAATAACATTACAAGATATTTTTTTACATAGTATTATCAATGAAATATTTNGATAAATTTTTATGCACATTAACACAACAACTTTAACAAAACTCAGGAGGATATATGTTGCACAATAACATTACAAGATATTTTTTTACATAGTATTATCAATGAAATATTTTTTCCTTCACAGTAATAATATTTTTTTCTTATTTTTCACAAAATATGGTCCAAAAATCAAAAAATTACATTATTTAAAGTAGTTACACATAATCGTTAATTGAATTAGGACACTCATCACCACTTGTGAATGTCAAGACATAAAATATATAAATATAATTTTCCTTTTCTCTCGTAGTAGTATCAACTTTTTTCCACAAGTAACACAATCAAGAATTTTTCGATTGTATTGCACAACAAAATATCCAAAACATTGAAATTTATATAATTTTATTTAGTAACAATGAATCACATTTTGAAATTNGGATAATCGGCATGGATAAAAATTGATTGAATTTTTTGTATCCTAATTCATCCCACCTAAATTCACTCCAGCACTTAATTAAATGGTTTTATATGCTATTCAATCCAAATTATTGTTTAGCGAAGCAATTGAATTAGATAGATCCCACGTTAATTTTTGTAGATATTTACCATTATATCAATTGACATATTCAATTCAAGAAAATTCACACTCCCCAGATCCACCACAGCCAGTAGCCCATCCTCACCCAATAAGAAAATTGAAAATTAGGGTTGTACTTATAATGATTTGAATCCGTCAAAAAAACTTATTTAATAATAAGTTCGTTTTTTTATATTACTAATAAGTACTTAAGTCCATTATTTTTTTAAATCTAAAAAATATCTTTAACAGTATTATTGTGTTTAATTATAAAAACCTTAAAAATAAAAATTATTATTCTTTAATTACTCCTAAATTAAAATTCAAATTTATATTCTCTATATATCTCTCTCTGGTTAGAAGAAAATCCTCTCATTCAATAACAAATACAAACTTTCACAATAACAATTGCAAACCGTAATGTAACATCTATTTTTTTCTTCACAGTAACAATAAATTTGTATGCACATTAACACAACAACTTTAACAAAACTCAAGAGGATATATGTTGCACAATAACATTACAAGATATTTTTTTACATAGTATTATCAATGAAATATTTTTTCCTTCACAGTAATAATTTTTTTTTCTTATTTTTCACAAAATATGGTCCAAAAATCAAAAAATTACATTATTTAAAGTAGTTACACATAATCGTTAATTGAATTAGGACACTCATCACCACTTGTGAATGTCAAGACATAAAATATATAAATATAATTTTCCTTTTCTCTCGTAGTAGTATCAACTTTTTTCCACAAGTAACACAATCAAGAATTTTTCGATTGTATTGCACAACAAAATATCCAAAACATTGAAATTTATATAATTTTATTTAGTAACAATGAATCACATTTTGAAATTAGAAATGCAAAAAACAATGAAAACATTGAGGCTTCTTTCTCTGGTTATAGATTTGAATGCTACTATTTTTATTTTCAATTTTATTCAATGTTCCATATTGCTATTTTTTTTTTTTGAGCATGTTGCTATTTTTGTTAAGTATGTTACTAATTTTGTTGAACATTTTACTATTTGTTGAATATGTTACTATTGTTATTTTTTAAAAATATCAATATTAAATTAACATGTTACTATTATTATTTTTAAAAAATAGTAATATTAAATGTTAATATTTTTTTATATTTAAATGTTACAAGTTTTTTATGTTTAAATGTTACTAGTTTTTTATGGTTAAATGTTCATATTTTTTTGTGTTTAAATGGTATTATATATATAGTTCTAACCTATATATGAATATAGATATATATAAAAGAGAAAAAATTTTAATATTAGTCAGACTCTTAAAATTTAGAAGTTTTTAATTTTTAGTTTTATTTTTACTTTTAAAGGGAATGAATAATTTGATAAAATTGATAAAAAATGGATTTCATAACAAATAAGTTTTATTTGCGGACTTAAATCCAAATAAGTACATATAAGTGGACCGACCTCCAAATTTTTCCTAAGAAAAACCAAAATCAAATCCCACCCCACACCTCTATTTCACCAGAACATTAACTTAACCCACTCTTCCCCAATGCCTAAGCACTAGTCAAAGAGAGAAAGAGAGAGGAGTTTTTACAGCTACTCACCCAGCCTTCCCCAACCAAAAATTTGTTCATGATGGGAAATTGGTGGTCTCAAA